AATTGTAATAATATTTCACAATATTACTGATTTTACTGCATTTTTAATCAAATAAATGCAGCCTTGGTGAGCAGAAGAGTCGCTAACCACATTCTACTATCATTCCAGGTGAGCGTATCTTGGGTTACCCCGAGGAACCGTGTTATCTTTGGTTTGTTATGGAGTTCTGCGACGGCGGCGACCTCAACCAGTATATCCTCTCGCGGCGGCCTGATCCGCGGACCAACCGTAGTTTCATGAAGCAGATGACCAGCGCTGTGGCCTTCCTCCATAAGAACAACATCGTCCACCGGGACCTCAAACCAGACAACATTCTCATCTCGCAGAAATCCGGCGACCCGGTCATCAAGGTCGCTGACTTCGGCCTCAGCAAGGTTTGCGCGGGACTCAGCTGCATGGAGAGCGAAGGCGACAACCAGGTGAACAAAAACATGGTGAACATTAACAAATTCTGGCTGTCGTCAGCGTGTGGCTCTGACTTCTACATGGCTCCGGAGGTGTGGGAGGGCCACTACACTGCCAAAGCGGACATATTCGCACTCGGCATCATCATTTGGGCCATGATCGAGCGGATCACGTTCATCGACGCCGAGTCCAAGCGAGAGCTCCTCGGCACGTACATCCGCCAGGGGACCGAGATCATCCCGGTGGGCGAGGCCCTGCTGGAGAACCCAAAGATGGTCCTGAACATCCCGCAGAAGACGCGGAGCATCATGTCTGAAGGCGTCAAGCGGCTTCTGCAGGACATGTTGGCGGTGAACCCGCAGGACCGGCCTGATGCGTCTCAGTTGGAGGTTAGAATGGACCAAGTGACATGAGCGGTGTAAGCCGCACCCATTGGCCGAAACGAGCACTCTAATTTTTCAGGTGGGTTGCAATTTCTTGGTTTTGTTTTAGATGCTGTATTCACCATTTTTGTTCACCTCAGACCAAAAGTCAAGAGTGCAGTTTAAATCCCATAATGCAGGGGTCTCTAACCTTTTTTACACCACGGACCGGTTATGGTGGGGGGGGGTATATAGCCTTATTTTTATATA